CTTCTTCTGGTTCTTTTTGCCCCAAATGATCCATTATATGACAGTGAATCAGGAACCTGGAGTTGAGTGGTCTCCAGTGCCTCTTCACATGCATACCTCAGAACAGCTCCCCCTTGCACAGGATACAGGAGATTTGGATGTGCAGGGCCGTGCTCAAACCCTGATGTCAGAGATGACTCAATCCAGAGGCTTGTAACTCCAAAACCCATTTTGCGAGATCCTGAATGGAGGAAAAAACTGTTTCTATGGCTACATAAACATGTTTTCTTTATTTGATTAGATATAGATATTCTCATAGACATCAGTCAAAGTAGAATACAAGACCAGGCTGTTCCAGAGACTACATAATTAAGAAAAAACAAACATTTTCAACAACCATGTGTCTTTATTTAAGGAGTGTCAACTTTCTTTTGCATCAGACTCTAAAACCCACTTGAGTTAAACACATCGATGTGTTCTGTTTCGCCCTCTACAAGGCTGGCCCTCACTACAAGGTTCCCAGGGGAGGTTGAGATTAGCTAGAATGTGATGAGATGGTGACAAATATCCAACACTTCCCCATATCAACAATCCTGAAAGCAACCACAATGGAGGAGAGCACGGCCCTGATTGGATCGGGAAGCAAAACAAAACAAAAAGAGAGACGAGGCCAGGAAACAGGGTATCCATTTCATGCCCCCCTGTTTGCCTGCCACCTGTTAGACATGATCATTACCACAAAGCAAGGGCATAGAGGGCTAAGCCAGTCACATTTATATCAACAAGCTGGGATAAAACTGTCTAATTATCCCCCACGGCCCATGCCCTGGCCCCCGACTCGCCTCCCGGAGCTGCTTCCATTTGCCAACCTGGTCTGCAGCCAAACTCTGCAGGCTGGTATGTGAAACCACATGCTAATGACAGTTCTCTTTCAATCTCGGGTCTTTGCAATTGCTCTGAGTAGCTTATACATATTATGTGGCACCAGTACAACGCAATAGTTAGAAGGTCAGGGAGAGGTTTAATGGAATAAGTATGTGAACTTCTTGCGGTACCTGATCTGAATAAATTACTGATATGTGAAAGTGTTGAGGCTCGTGATGGCACCAGCCGACAAAATTTAGGCTTCAGTGCTCCAGACTATGACCGTTTAGTTACATTTTGTGGCTATTTTTAGCAACAGTGTGCGCAACTTGCAAATATGCCGCCCATTTTCTTTTTCTAATCATCATTGTGTATCATGAAAAAAATGTACTGAATAAGGATGGTGATCTTGAACACATCAGCAGCAGCAAAGGTCTCATATCTCAATAGTCTGATATATGGAAATAACAAATTTTCCTTGCTAAAACAAATGTAACTTTCAAATACCATCAAGCAAATTTGCCACCTGTGAGCAAATGCTTATGTCAAGCAAAGTTAAGCTTTGATGATCACCCATGATTGAGAGCAAATGTAGACTAAATGTAAGCAATTTGCACCTGTGCAAAGCTGACTATTATCATAACAGTTTTGATGGCTACAGAGAGAATGTGGTGGGTGGGAGCGGGACATCCAGATCCCCGTGGGAGATAGCATTAACGTCTTAATTAGGACGCAAGGGAAAACATTCAAAGTACTCCAAGATGACAAGGGACGCGGCGCTGGGAAACTAGAGCCGATCGCCTTTCCTAGTTCAAGGCTAATTGCTGAAAGGGATCCGACATGAATGTACAGGGAAATACGGAGGGTATGTAATAAGATGATGTGAGGTCATCTCTAAAAGCTGCTGCTGCACTAATTCTGCATGTCTTTGGTGGCTTGTAGATCTATGTTATTAGGACATTACAGGGACTACAAGAACATAATTCCAGTAAAACCCTATAGCTGTATATGCTTCTGAATTAGAAGCTAATTTAATGAATGTTCTATGTTGTCCTTAGGTATACATATGGATGCTTTATATGATCATTCTATCTGTCCTTTTTTAAAATCATGGTTGACAGAATTGTCACTCAGCAAAAGCTGCCACAGCAGCCGGGTTACTTCCAGAAATCTATTTGGCCACAAGATCTCTGATAAAGTGTCAGCTGTGGCAGATATGATTACTACAACAGGGCACGAACTGGAAGCTGGCCCAAAATCTTGGACCTAAGATTTGTTACTACATTTACAGGCCAGTCAATGTTAAAACTGAATAAAATATACATTTTAAAGTACCTTTTTTCTAGCTCTTTTTCAGAATGGCGGTTGGAAAATTAGAAATGAAAACCATGATTGTGTTCACACATGAACACTGTTTTGTCGTTACTCTCAGCATGTTTCGTTTTCTTTTGCATTTCATTGTTCATAAAAATAAGGAAGACTTTTCTATACAACTGCCCACAAATCAAATCAAAACTTCTTGTTGTATTACTAAATTATTCTATTTCTGCTTTGAGAAATCTGTGACGTTTCACTATATATTAGGGTTGCCAACCATCAAGGATCAGCTGGAAGACTCCCAGAATTAATTTAGGCCTCCCAGAAAAATCTAAATTCAATCTGGGAGATTCTCAGTGTTTTGAAGGAAAAAGCCAGGAAAAATACAAATTCAAAAGAAAGCAATTCTTTGGCACAAATAGAAAAACTGATATTGCACAATTTAATTTTAATGCAATTAATTTAGGCTATTTATGCTGAAAAATACTATCTTATTGTAAGGACACTAAGCACTGCTGTCACATCCAAGTGGTTTATATCAACTTGCAGCTGTACCTCTATCTGCGACTGCTAGAATTGATAAATTCTGCCTTTGTCACTCAAGGAAAAAAAAAAAAAAACTCATAAAGTTGGTAAACCTACTATACATGCCACTGACGGACAGCTAAGTGATTAATGCATTTGATATTTTTAACAAATTTAAAGTAAATGGAGGATTATTTACATTCAAGGACCACTCCAGAGGAATTCTATGAAATAAAATGAATTCTTTTCACTGACATCATTTTCTAACATTTCTTCTGGTCCAGGTCTACATGAAGTAAGACGCATTGCTGTTCTAAATATCATCAGAAATGATTCCCCCGGTTGTGTCCAAACTTTATAGAGGAGTATAAGGCAAGCCTGCCCTAATAAAAATACAGGTGGTTTTCTTCTTCTTTCAAAGACTTTTGCAGACTTTTGTTCAATTACAGCTAAGCCATGATATATCATTTATTTATTCT